GGAGCATATATTTGCTTTGTAGCAAAAGCCTAAAACACGAAATGCATTTGCCCGGTCACCCACTAACAAAAATAAAGATCCTTTTAAGTAAGTTTTCAAAGTACCTTAAATTGGAGAAAAGTTCTTGTAGAAACGAGGCTCTAAAATAATCCAGTTAGAGCCCGTCTCAAAAATTCCCCTAGAAGATGTTGTTTTGATGCTCAAATATCCTCAAATTGATCATCTCAACATCAAGATGTATGGACAAGCGAAAAAAATAGGTTTCAAATTTAGGAAATAGTGCATCTTGTAACGTATTTTTGGATCATCAATTTTCAAGATTTTCAATTTTTCATAGATCTGTTCCATTTACACTATTTTTTAAGCTTTAAATTTATAATTAAAGTTGAAAATATATTTTAAGGTAATCACATAGATTTCTAGTGTTGAAACCACATTTCTTGACACTATTTGAAGTGCACTTTACTTTGATTGTTTAGAGCCTCGGCTCTATACAAACCGCACCCCTTAAGTTTTAGTGATATTTAGTTTCAATTTATTTTTCATATTAATGTTTCATTATCTAAAATATATATTTAAGCTATTCCCTTTAGCACATTAGCAAACAATTGTTGGTGTTAATGAGGGATTAGAGTGTGGGACGATATGGCAAAGGATGATAAAGTCTAGAAGTTGTTTTAAAATATCAAACCAGCAGGTTCATTTACACTTTCTCGTTTCAAGATTTGCCACATTTTTCATATTTCAAAGAACCAAATCACGAAGTTCTCACCGTTCCAAAAATTACTTAGAAAAGAAATCCCTATGCTTTTGGAAAGGGGCTTTAATAGCTCACTCTATGCAGCATGCTTTCATATAGAAATTTGAGAAATCCTCTATTTTTCCAAGCTTTTTGAGCTATTTTAAAAATGACTTGCCGTTTTTTTAATAAGGTTAGGGTTTTGGTGTGCTGGCTAACATACCTAGTAATTATGTATTTTTTTTCCAAAACCCATTTTTGAGATAGACTTCGGATTCAATATTTCTTCCCTTCGATCATGAATTTGAAAAGAAAATAAAGTTTAAAAGTAATCTATTTTGATATATATATATATATATATAATCCGTACTATGTTTCGAGCTGCAACTTCATGGATATAATAATGAAGTTATGAGGATTTAAAAACCCATATCCATGTAAAATTTGAGCTGACTCTTGAGTCCATGAGCCCGGGTATGCAATAAACTTTCCTTTTTTATAATGGTGTTGTTTCCAAATCTGTGTGGTACATGGCTTAATGAGTATACGTCCCAATCATTGTTAGAAAAACAGGGATGATCTAACTGCTAACCGTTCGGGTACGATTGCCAACTTACCCAACAAAAAGATAAAGAATATGGGTAAACTTGATAAAGTGCTGCAAGAAATTGAATTCATGGAGTTCTAGGCTCAAAAAATGAGAGCTACACTTCAATCTCCCCTATGGAAGTTTGCTTATCTTGGTTTTAGGAAGTTTGCCTCTTCACTTTCTTTTCGCTTCCTATGTCCTTTCTCTCTCAATTATTCTCTCTAATTCCCTTCTCTATATCCTTGCACTTCCTGTCTCTAAATCCTCTCTAATAACCATGACTTTTCCATCTCTAACTCCTCTCCCACCATGACCTTTCCGTCTCTAACTCTTCTCCTGCTAACTGCCTCGTTTCTCTCTAAGTGTATCTTTTCTATTTCTAACTCTCTCTAATCATGTCATTTCTCTTTTTGGCAATGCCTTCTCTCCTTATATACTTTCTCTCTATGACCATGCATCTTCCCTTTCTAACTCGTTATTCTCTTTAATCATGCATTTTCTCTTTCTAACTCCTCGCAATGCCTTTTTTCTCTAATAGTACTATTTCTATCTGTAACTCCTCTATCTAATAATGTCAATTTTTTTTCTCCACAAGTCATCTCTCTATTCTTTCTCTCTCCAAGTCCCCTCTCTCTCTCTCTTGTTGTGAAGCCGTAAAATGTTAGGTTGACCCACTATTGAGCCTGACCTCTATATTTCTACATGGGTTATCGAATAAGTATCTTAGAACTTCCAGATATCAACATTTCGAACTGTGAGGAACCTAGAACTCTTAAGTGAATACCAAGTGAATACCGGCTTCCCATTACCAAATCATATGACCACTTCTGCTTGGTGGAAATGACTTAATGTAGATTTTTTTTCAAAAAAGAAACTTTTAGGATCTGCTTTAGAAGAACTGTGTGGATATAATTTTAAAGAAAATGATTTTCTGGTTCCTAAGCCATCTGTCCAAAAATTTGAATGGTCTCTCTTCTCTAGTTGGACTAGAAGTTTTAAGATAAACAAGGGTTGAACTTTTTGTTTCTTTTTAAATTAGCAGTTGGTGGAGCTGATCATATGAGAGATTAGGATTAACAATTCGATTTGGTCATGAGTGGACAAACAAGGACTTTTTTATTTTTCTGTTTTGAGACGTGGACAAACCTGATTGATCATCATCTATTACTTTTTTTTTTTCTTTCGAAACTCCTTTCACGGGGATAAGTACCCCCATCCTTAATTACAATTAGGACTGGGAACTTATCTGGACCAAACCAGAGACTCGGCTACCCGATCCGATCTTGGTCTGGGTATGGGTCTAAATAAAAAAATTAGGTAGGATTCAGGTCTCGGTGGACCCACCTCAGACCCGATATGGTTATTTTAAAATATTATGTAATAATATATGGGAAAGGATCATGTTAGCCCAAGGGCTGATAACTACCGTGTCAGTTAACGGTCCAGATTGAATCTGCATTCAATGAATCTGCATTCAATCCAATGGTCACGATTTCATTTCGTACTTGAATTATTTTTTTAAAATAAGGGCTCAAAATTGGCGTGTTTTCTCTTAGAAATTTGTGAATTATCAAGGATTATTTCCATGATAAATTTGTCACGATTGTACGGAATTTATTTAATAAATTGTTGCACACATGTATTATGTTTGCATTTCAGTAGCCATTAAAACCTTTACTAGCCATGAAACCAAAAAAATATTAAAATATACTTAACCTAAAAGTGCAATATCGCGTCACTAAAATAATCTAGATTTTCAATAAGTGACAAATAATTTTCTTTTTTGTTTTAAAAGCAGTTTTTAACCAAAATTATTGAATCGGCCGGCGTCACACCAAGATCTATTACCTGCTACAAGCACAGTTTGAAAGCTTGGTTTCCGTGCGGTTTGAATAGAGCCGAGGCTCTAAACAAAGTGTTTCATAAATGTGGATTCAATACCTAAAATCTTTGTGATATTCTTAAAATATATTTTCACCTTTAATGATAAAATTTAAAGCTTAAAAATTAATGTATATGGAGTAGATCTATGAAAATCTTGAAAATTGACGGTCCAAAAATGCATTACAAGATGCACTATTTTCAAAACTTGAAAACCAATTTTTTCTTATGTTCATGCATCTTGATGTCGAGATTCATGCATCTTGATGTCGAGATGATCAATTTGAGAATATTTGGGCATCAAAACAGCCTCTTCTAATAAGATTTTTGTGGTGGGCTTTAATTTGATTGTTTAGAGCCTCGGCTCCATATAAGCTATTTCCTTTTTGTAATGCACTTCCATTGGACCTAAAAGCACGGGGCACTTCAACTATTTTCAAAATATTAGACCTCGACACAAACTATTTGCGATGCAAGCGGTGTCCTGGTGGCAATCTTATCGTAGATATTCATTTAAGCCAAAACATATTCTACTCGTCCGGGAGTAGAATGTTCATTTACTCCCTTGGATAAAACTCGACTAGAATCAATTTTAAGATTTCAAATTTTGGGTACCTCTTCAATCTGTAAATTACTCTCAATAAAATAAAATAAAAAATCCCTAATTGTGCCCTCTATATGCCTGAAAAAAGAATAATAATGCTTTCGGATTGAATAGAGACCATCCAATTTTAAGATGGTGAGATCTGTTTTAGTAAACTCAAATTTGAATTTTATTTTTTGAGAATAATCATTTAGTAATTCTTAAATAGCTCCTAAAATTTCAGATTGAAAAATTCCTCTTAAGAAGGTCTACTGGCCGAGGGAGTAGAAGTAACTATACTCCCAAGGGAGCATAGTATATGTGTTCTACATTGATTAGTTTCAACCTATCATTGCTATTATCGAGATTGGTAAAATTTTATTTATTAGTGGCGGACATAAAAATGCACTAAAATATACCGTTAAAGATGCCTATTGGTAATAATATGGGAAATTTACGTGTGTACTGTTTTTTTTACCGTTATTATGGTCTTGTCCAAAAAATATGTAGAATTTGCGCAGAGACTTTGACTACCCCATTTTTATTTTTTTTCAAGTTTGTTCTTAGTACGATGTTTTAAATATTGGACAACATATTAAATATAATTTTTATTTTTTTGATGGTATTGGTCTATTTGATCTCAGAACCATTAAATTCTGATAGCCCTACATTTTTTAGTCGGTCCGATGCCGTAAACCTTCAAAAAATGAGGTTTAAGGCCGGTCCATTGTTTATATGAGAGAGAGGAAATATGTGTTTAAGGGGACAACAGAGGGCAACAATTTAAAGAGAGTTGAAGTCTATGGTTTTGAGAGAGAGAGAGTGAGTGAGGAAATAAAGAAACAAAGAGCAAAAAGGAGAGAAATGAGAGGACATCCATGGGGTTTCCTAGTTAAAAGTCTCTTTATCACTTTTTAATATATTTCTCGAATCATATTTAAATGGCTCCTAATAATCGAATGCGTCGGCCAACTTTGATATAATTGCTTTGACAAAGTTTGCATTAACCATGCTAGAACTTAGGTTTCAAATAATACGATTGCCAATGCCCACAAACTATAGGTAACGATACTCCTCAATCGTTCGATCTTGATATTGGACGGTTAAGGAAGCGGTCGGTAAATTATTTGAAACCAAAATGCTAGTAGTGCCTGCTTTTCCTTATTTGCATCACTAAGTTTTGTTGTTTACTTTTTTGTACATAGCAGATAATGTACAAAGACGTTTATCCTGATGGTCCACTCAAGTTGTACCATTTCATTATGATGGCAACTGTAGTCATGGTTTTGTTATCGCAATTGCCCTCCTTCCACTCCCTTAGACATTTGAACCTCGCTTCTCTCTTCCTCAGCTTGGGCTACACCTTGCTCCTCGTCATTTCCTCTATTGTTGCAGGTTACTATGCACCACCTCATCTCAGTTTCTCAATAATCTTCCAGTTAATTATTGTTTTGGAAATTAATTTTACAAAGAACATCACATTATGGTTAAATAGTAGGTTTTTTGCAATGAAAAAGAATGCTATAAGACCATTTAGTATTCTTACAAGGAAGTACAAATCATTCATGTCCGTTAGATATGAGTTTGGGCAGCTAGGAGTGTGCCATTGACAAGGTCAAAAGTTCCATTTTTATTTTTATTTTTATTTTCAAACTCTAAGTTACTCCAAGTTGTCTGATTTCACACCTAACAACTCATATTGATTGTCCTTTCTTCTCGTAGATGTACATGATCTTACGATACACAAACCCTATTGTGATTAGCCTCAATTTTAGACAAAGCAAGTAGTATAATGCTTACTATCTTTTAGGGGCTAGATTTCTAAATTTTGCATTCTTAGCAAGGAAGTAGAGAATTATGTGTGTCTTTAGTAAATGTTTTTGAGTAAATTTTGTTAGGGGATTTTGTACAATAAAATTATTTATGTGGAAGGTCACAATCACTTCTAACTATCAGATATGAAATCAGATGGCTAGGGGTTGTGTCACAGTTTGAAAAACTATTCTTTTTGGACTTTGAGAGCACTCGATTGCATACTCTCAACCACCATATTATACATAGAATGTCATAATTAGGTGATTAGAGTTGGACAAAACAAACCAAAACAATGTAAAAAATGTAAGAGGAGAAAATGGCAAAGAAGACAATAAGAAGATGGCAATGGTCAGACATGGATGCAAAGAAAGTACACGCTTGGGAAGTACACGCTTGGGATATCAAAAATGTCAATTGTTTTGAGAATCAGACCTCATTTAACATGCAAGCTCTATATAAATTGTTTATGTGGATTTACATCTTGATAATCCATAAATAATCATCATCATTTGAGCTTTATTCAAACTATTTGGGGTCGGCTAATCCATAAATCATCATAATGTCTTAAAAAGGGATTGAAGAAACTCTTATGTCCCAACTAAAGTTACCAATATAATACTCGATGTATAATTAGCCAGCAATAAAATGAACTGTTTATGAGCCACTTGCACATAAGTTATAATTCTTTTAGTAATATGTAAAAAAGCATTTACATCTTTTGTTATTTTCCCCTAATAGATGCTTTCTTTCTTTTTTGGTTCCATAAATTGGTTTTATATAACATACGAAAAGATATCAATATTTATTTTCTCTAATGGCTGACTCCTTATTTTATTGGGTTCCTTAATATGGCTTTGGTTTTACAGGGTACTCCAAAAATGCCCCTCCTAAGGATTACTCACTTGAAACTTCAACATCTGTCCGCACATTTGATTCTTTCAGTTCGATTTCAATCCTAGCCTCTGTTTTCGGTAATGGAATCCTCCCTGAGATTCAGGTATGGGTCATTTTTTACGGAGTTTGATTTCCACTTCTTGCATGGTCTTTTCCCTTTCTTTAAAATTTCTTCTTGTTTCTTTCTCTTGTGCATTTTTCCTTTACTTTTCCATGAATTCTCTCTCTAGTAACAAAAAGTCAGGTATCATCAACCAGGGGATTTGGGGGCATTTGTAGAATTCATAAGAGTGTCTCTCTAACCAAGAGTAATGCATTTTCAATCATTTTAAGAAGAATAATATTTATTTGCATTGTATACAAAGAAATTATGTATCTTTTGTACATGGAGGTCACAATTATTCCCACTCAATAAATGTCAAATTGAATAGCTTGAGGTGAGTGATGAAGTCCGAGATTTTTTTTTTGAAATTTTGTGTCTATTCAATGACACTTTTTCAACTAGTCAATTTGAAATTTAAGAGACAATAATGATTGTGACCTTCTTGTACAAAAAAGAAATGGTCTTTTTGTAGACAATCCTAAATTTATTTGACCATAGTAGTGAATTATTTGTTGTGTCTAAAACTATTGTTGTGTGAGAGTTAGTAATTTCATTGCATTATCTTTCTTAATTTTGACTTTGAATGCCATAGTACTCTATGCAACCACAGTAATATTAATTGGAAAAGCATATAATGAGACCATTGATCTTTGGTACAAGATGGTCACAATTAATCTTGGACATTGGATGTGAAATTGGATAGCTTTATTTATTCCGTTGACCAAGCTCAAACTTCAAAAGATATTTTCTTGAACTTTGTGGCACACCCAAGCTAATAGATTTCACATCGGATGGTTACAAGTAATTGTGACCTTGTTCTAGCAATGATAACTAGTCTCATTGTGTACAATCCTATATTAATTATCATATGATAATTTTAGCATAAAAATCTTAAACATCTGGAAATAATGTTTTTAAAGCTACCACTTCATTTTTATGAGAAAAATGTAAATATATACTCCTTTTAGAGAAATGTATTATTGAAAACTACTTGCATTAAGGTATGCATTTCTCAATAGATAACTATTTTTTCGCTTGCTTTTTTTTTTTTTTTTGGGACCTTAACATGTTGCTCTTCATTAGTACCTCTTTAATTTGTGCAAGTGGTTTCAATAGTGGCTAAAACTACACAATGTATCTTCTTACAAAATCAAGAAAAAAAAAAAAAATATTTGCAAGGAGCGTGTTTTATGGAGCTCCTGAATTAAGTAGCCCATATGCTCTTCATTCCCTTCACTCAAAGTATGAATTAAGATTATCTCCTTACCTTCTATTAAACTTTTAATCTCCATTCCCAACTATCAGAGCCTCCATGATATATTTTGTTCATATGTACACCATTTAATTGTATTCAATGGGTCTCCTTCTATGATCGTCGTACTTTGATTATTTGGAATGAGTTTGAGGCCAATGTAAAGAAGCTTTGTAAACATACCAGCTGGTCCCAAATAAATAAGCTTCACATTGGAGTTGCTATTTCTGACCATACCACCAAACCTTGCCAGACCAGTATTGCAAATTGAACTCAAATCAAAATTAAAACAAACAACCAATTGTTGCGGGTTTCATTTCCCTTCTCTTACTCTTGTTGCCATCTTCATTTTTTCCACCCGGTGCAAGTTATTAATCACATCGTTCCTTTGAGCACACAAAATGATTGCTTGATGTGTAATTGTATCCAACAGATACGTTCAAATTTATCTCTCCTTTCTTGTTTTCTACACCTGCCAACAAATGGTAGCCTTATGTATTGTCTTGATAAATTGTCCATGTTTAGGGAGATGAACATTAAGTTGTCTATTGGTGTTGAAAGAGGTAATTGTATGCTTTGCAATTGCATACCCCATTCCCACATGCTCCGCACCACTTCAAGATGTAAAAACAAGTGATTTGGCATTTTCCTAATCTTTCTTACACATAATATACACATTTGTTAGAACTTTTCCCTCCTGAAAACGATTAACTGTAAGAAGATCCCTCATCATGAGAAGCCATATAAACATCTGAATATGGCCTTTCTAACCATTTTTCATCGATAAATTCGACCATCTTACCCCGTTATTGAACAACATCTCATATAAAAATAACCATTTTCTGCTGACTCCCAAAATAACTTATCTCTTATGGTAGAGTTGTAGAAAATTTGTGATAATTCCCCCAACAACTACCGTAATTGATAAATCACAAAAACAAGTAGTCTATTGTACTTACACCTTATTGACCAAATTGTGCTGCAGGGCTGTCTTGTGACCAATAATTTACCTTAGTATTAGACTCAATCATTTTCGAGAATAATCAAGGTAATGATACTTCAAAGATCCGAGCCTTATCCCAAATATTTGCGGTTGGCTCTCTCTCCCGACCACTTATGGTGCTAAAATCGCCTTTGTATTGCTCGTGCCAGTTGCATTCGTGTTTTCCTTTAAAGAATTAGTTTACAAGACTTTATCATTTTTTACAAAATTGATTCTTCTTGGGTTCTATGGCCACTAGAAGTTGCTTGTGTTTCTTGAGATCCATATTTACTCTTAAGCATTTCTACCCACCACTGATATGTACCACCACCATTTTAACAGCAGTGATGCACTCATCAATTTCAGCTTCTTTATCACCTACTCCCTCTTTTTTTGGTATGGGGACCTTGTCCCATGTTATAATCGGGTATTTATTTTTCTCTCTTCGGTACGTTTCCATATGAATTTTTTCATTCATCCTAACAAGTACTTCATTACCTTGTTTGGCAAGCTACAATGAGATATGTAATACACATGGATATTTGAGAGAATCAAACTTATTAGAGTCAACCTTCCTCCAAGAGACAAGTACTTATATTTCCATAGACCAAGCTTTATTTGACATATTTCGATCATTGAGTCTATCTGCTAAAAGGAGTCCAAGGTATGTAATGAGACTTGTAGTACACAAGGATATTGGAGATCATTGACCTTAGTAGAGTCAGCTTAACTCCAATAGATAGGTACTTCATATATCAAGCTTTCTTTGACATCTTTTGATAACTAAGTCCTATACTGACTTGTCCAATCTTCTACTTACTATAGTCCAAGATATGTAATTGGGAATATATAACTCTAATCCCACTATTGCTACCAATCATTGAGTGGTTTGTTGATTGCACAATACACCTACAGACTTAGTCTTCTATAGGTTAAATTTCATTTCAAAAATAGTCTTACATTACTCACTAACTTTTTCTCGACTTTTCTATTATTAGTCTTGATCTTTTCCATGTTGGATTTGTTCCAAATTTTTGAGCTCCTTCATTTTCCCTACCAACATGTCACTTTGTTTCTTGAAGTCAATGCTCATTTTTTCATAACACTAGCATTTTCTCGAGAACTTATAACTATTTAATAAATCTAGCCTCACTTCTGTGGAGGACCAAATGTAACTTATCGTATAAGGAATATGTAGCTTAAGTCTAAAAGGTGTTCGTCCAAAAGCAGTTACCCTTTGACTCCTAAGTAAAAAACGTTTAGATAACTGTAAGTTTTGAGGCTTATTTTTTTACCATATCTAATGTGTGCCAATGATAAAAATATATGTTAATTCATGCATATTTATGAAAATGTTGAACCTTCTCATACAGGAATTGGACAATTAGATTCATTAGGACACCTAATTATATTAAATGCTTCATTAACACATCATGATACATTCAATTTATTATAGATACTTAGAAGGTTCTTGCAAAAGCAACCTTCTCTCAAAAGGGACATGAGTTCCATGCACATTAGAAAATAACCACCTTAAATCTTGACAATGACCTTAAAAGAGAACATATAAGGACCTTTCTCCCATGAAAAAATTCGGACCTCGTACAAACATCCGGGTCCGAAATTAACCATAAACTATTTGTATAACATTGTCCTCCCCAGAAATCTCACTAACATTCTTCCTCAAACTGCCCTTGTACTTTAAAACTTAGGGACTGGGAGCTCTGTTTCTTGCAACATTGTTATATTCGTACATTCCTTTCTCACTACCAGTAAAATACTATTCCTTTTTAATTACTCCCATAGGCCCCTGTTGTTCCAACTGAGTGCTTTCATTCTACTTTATAGGGGGCTTCACGTCTAGTAATGGATCACCCACTTGCAGACTTACCCTAGATTCTGAAGAATTAGAAAGACAATCTTTGTTCTTCCCTACTCCTCCATTGCATCATAGTTAACATTTAAGACCATTTTCTCTAGCTCTCTTTCTACATTTATGTTCTTCTTACCATTTGTTTTTCTTTCCCTTTGGTTTGCTTCTTAGTCTCCTTATACTTCTCATTTTTTGACTTAAACATAGCTTGATCTATCTCCTCTATAGGATCCAAAGCTGAACTTTCATTGCCTCTAATATCAATTGCACCTCTCTCGGATGTTAATATATTTGTGTTGTTTCTTCTGTTTGTTCTTCAACGCCTTCAAAGATGACTTGTGTGGCTATCTTCTCTAAAAAAACCTGACGTCGTCGTCGTCAGAAACCATAACAAAAAAGGCAATATCCTGTATCATCAATAAATCAAGGCCTCTCCTTAATGTAAATTTGTATTTGGTTTGCGGTTCTTGAGATTTCCCTCACTGTTCCAACTGTGCAAGCTAGAGGGGTTCAAGGTTTTCTCTTGAGCCTTTTTACTAGAGGCAAAATAACCAAATTGTACAATTGAAGAGGCCTTATCTGAATTTCCTCCTGAGGAACTGTTTAGGTGTGTTTCGTAACAGTAAAAACATATAACTGGATACCAAGAGCATACAAAGGAAAATGAGATAAAACAAAGAAAATCTTCGTAAGAGAAATGTCTCTTATTGCGGATGATTGAAAAGGGATTTTCAAATTTCAAATTGAGTACAAGATAAGAAGATAAAGATCAGGAAGAAACGACATCAAAACAAATTGATCTAGGAAAATAAAAGCGGATAAGTAAGAATAAGGAATTGCGGCCAGAATGAGAAATGATGGGTGAACTTCAAGTTCGATTTTCAATTGGGAATGACGTGATTAGGATACCATTAACTAGATAAAAAAGTGAGTGTCATTGGCTCAAAGCTAGAAAAGATCAAGTTACAACAAATCTTACAACCCAAAAATGACTATGTAAAGGACTCCGGACAATAGGGTTAGGGAAGATGACTGTTGAGTCTTACATTACTGCGACGAGTGTGCAATTATAGTAAGAGAAAAAAAATAAAAATCTCATTCTCGATTGGTTTCAATGACGATCTGGTCTTCCATATATTTCAAAAGGGTCCCAATAGACTAATCTGCATTATCCACATATATTATTTCTTTACTTTTCAAGCTAGTTGATCAAGGGTGTTCTCTATTTACTTAACCGAACTTTGATATAAAAGAAACAAATGACCTTATAGGCATCTGGAACTCTTCCGGCCTCCCAATTCATGTTTTAATAAAATATTTGGATACATTTTCCCATTTGTGCTCTGATTTTTGTTGGAGTGGCTTTGCTTTCTCATCTTTCTCTTATTATCTTTATCACCATTATAAAGCCACATTTTGGGAAAACTAGTAACACATGGTCTTTATTTAGTCTTTTTTTTTACCTCAATGTGATAAGGACAATACTTCGTCGAGTTTTTGTGATGGCCAACTATACAATAAGAATATAATATGTGACATGAGTTTTTGTGATGGCCAACTATACAATAAGAATATAATATGTGACATGGAAAGTTATAGAAGTGCAGAAGGTTTGAGCAATTAAGCATTATACTTGGCACGGCCAGCATTGTGTAGCTTACATCCCCACCATTTCAGCAAATTAAAACTAGAGGAATTATTTGAGAAATTGTATCCTAACATAGTGTAGTATATGTGAATTTTTCATATATAAAATGCAAATGGAAAACGATAAGGAAACTAAATTTATCGATGATGGTTGCATATTTTTACATTTAATTTGTACCATGCTAATGCCTCGTTCTATGGTTTTGCCTATTATGTTTTTCTCTTTTTCCTTTTATCTCTTTTTGTGATTGTTTGAATTTTGAATTTTTATGGATAATGCAGACGGTCAGCTAATACTCTCTACAATTTGAAGCACTATAAGGGGTGGTACTTTACTGTACTTAATTCCTTAAGAAAATAATTAATAAACGAAATATTTGTATACTCTTTTTTTCAGGCAACTCTTGCTCCTCCAGTAACTGGAAAAATGCTTAAAGCGTTGTCCTTGTGTTATATAGTCATATTCTTCACCTTCTACGCGGCTGCGATCTCAGGGTATTGGGCATTTGGAAACAAGGTGAACTCCAACATTTTGAAAAGCTTGATGCCTGACAATGGGCCATCTTATGTCCCAACCTGGATGCTCGGTATCGCTATAATTTTTGTTATCTTGCAGCTCTTTGCAATTGGCATGGTAAGCTTCACAGATATACATATTTTTGATAGATTTCATCTTTCTTTCTCTCTCTTTCTTTTATGTTTTTCTTTGGTAAGTTACTATAAAATAAGATGATGGTTGGTGATGGGAGCTATTTCTTGCACCTGAGAGTCCCACTCTAGGTTAAATAGTACACTTTGCAAAATGTATAATTATGTTTCCCCTAGTCTATTGTATTATGACATATTTTTTGGGATGTATACCATGGGGAACCAACTCTAAACCTATTGAATTCAACTGTCTAGAGAGAAACTATATTGTAATTGGATTTTCTATGGACCCATTAGGTTATTGTTACACATTGGACTCACGAACTGACATTGAGAATTTAACGATTTGAAGTTTTTAAAATATTTTTTGTTTAGCAACCCGTGGTAATCAATCTTGATAAAGTTTTTTTTTTTTAGCCTGTAGTTCTTGATGTATAGTCATTCTTAGAGTAGGAGTTGATTTAGAACATTTTGAGCACCAAAATCATTTTATTTAGATGGATCCTTGTGATGAATAAAAATGAATCTAAAGTTCGAGGTCAAGAAAATCCTTATAATTCTTTGGCATATACAATAGTAATGCTTGGCTGCATAAAATACTTTCTCCTCAATCATTACCTTTCCAGTGGCATAATGGATGGTGATGGAAAGAGCGAGGCACACTTCCCAAGCCTTTCAATTTAGATACAGATTCACCACATGACTATGAATCCTTGGATGCTTTCCTATAACAAAATGTGTTTGTTTGATTGTTTGAGTCAGAGGAGAGAGAGAGAGAGAGAGAGAGAGAGAGAGAGAGAGAGAGAGAGTAGTAGTTGT